ACTTTTTCTAGTTCTTTTTTTACCCAAAAAAATCTTAAACCAAAAAAAAAACCCCTATTTTTTTTTTTTTTTTTTTTTTTTTTGTGCTTCATCCGTCTCCTCTGGTCATGAGATGAAAACAGACACAACCTGAAGCGGTAATAAAGCTTTCTGAGTTATGTTGGAGGACCGGAGGTGGACAGCGCTGTCCTAGCTTACCCAAACAAAGCTAGCATTAATGCGGACCGTAAAAGGGACGAGCTAACTCTATGTGGGAGGTCTCATCAGTCCACATTTCTGCAGTGTCTGAAGTTTCTGCTTCGCAGCAACGCTAACCACTGGCCTGTAAATGGAAAAAAATCCTGGAAGAACGTCTCAAAGACTGGAATATGGTCCTGCAATGAGAAAATATCCTGGATCCTGAAAAAATGAGCAGCTCCAAAGATGTACGAACGGAGAAAAGCTCGGGATTTGTTGGTTTTTAACCAGCATTGCCACCATTAAACTTTCTATTATCATTTAAAACGCTGTACAGCGTCTACAATTACTTTTGTGTTTAGTTTCAGTTCAGTTTCTTTCAATACAATATGAAACTTTAACTGCAGGTGTGTGTCTGGTGAAGCTGTGGTTAAAACATGTTTGTTCTTCATTCAGTGGGTAGAAAATCCAGAAATTTTACTCAACTAAGAGCAGAAATACATCATAATAAAATTATAAAAGTAAAAGAAAAAAGTGCAGGGTGGTAAAAATACTAATAAAAGTAAATTTTAAAAAAGTTACTCAAGTGAATGAGTAAGTGTAACTAGTTACCAGCCAACTCTGCAGGCCTAAAATTGTATCGTTATAAATGAAAAATGTTTTTCGACTGAAATGTTTTCATTTAGTAACACTGATGATATTCGTTTTCCTGTTTTAGTGAATCCACTCCCCTTGACTTATAACAAGCTCTTACATTTTGCTGAAAAGTTACTTTTAAGTTACTTTTGTCTGTTTTCAAATGTTGTAAGATAGTTACGGTAGAAATTAAACCAAAAATACTTGGAAAGGTTTTGTGTTTTTGCAGTGCAGTCGTGTCATTTTTTTGTGTGGAAATTAAACGAAACATCCCATGAAAAACAGCAAAAAATATATAAAGTTTGGATTTGTTGTTATATTTATTGTTAAAACTTCAGTTTATCATTTTGGGTCTAATTGTTTAAAACCATTGTGTGATGTCCAAACAGTCACAGAATGGCAGGACTATCACTAAACACTGCATAAATGCAGAAGTGAGACCATTTTGAACCTGAAAAGTCAGACAGACTCTCTGAAGGTTCTTGAGGAAGACGAAGGGTGAGGAAGAGGACTGAACATGTGTGAAGTCTTTCATCTCAGAGGGAGGATGAGGAAGAGGCCTTCTCTTCATCTTTCTCGTCGTCTCATCACTGTTTCCTCCTCCATTCTTCCTTTTCCTGCCCTGCTGCTTCATCCCATCCCTCTCTTCCTCTGTCGCCTCCGTTTCCCATCTGCCCCGCCTACCTCTCCGCTGCCAAAACCTTTTACTCATCTGTTCGTTCTCTCCCTCCTTCTCCTGCGGCGAGAAGACGTGTGAAAGCAGCTGCTACGAGAGCGGCTCAGATTAAACACACAGAGACGGAAATAAACGCAAATTTAAGCAAAGTGCTGGAAAAAAGACGCAATGAAAGAGTTAAAGAAATGTCTGGTTGTGAGTAGGAATGTGTTTCTGATTAAAATATGTGAAAAAAACATTAAGAAACAGGTTTGCTAATTTGTTAGAAATTAGCATGCTGTTGTATCTGCCATCGTGTAACAATGTTACACTGTAAAAACACAAAACTGTCTTCGTCTAGTTTCTAGTGCAAATGTCTCGGTTCACTGGAAATAAGACAAAAATAAAAAATTTTTCCCTTGTTATAAGTTAAATAATATTCCAGTGGAACAAAAAAAAAATCAATAATTATTCACTTAGAAGCTGAAAAGTTACTTTTAAGTTAGTTTTGTCTTATTTAAAGAGTTCTAAGAAACTTGAAACTAAACGCAGTGATAGATGTTTGGATATTTGCTGCCGATACTTTCAGCCTTATTTTTCAGTATTTTCTCACCAAGCAATTTTATATTTTCCCAGTTTTTTCCATAAATTTGATATTTTTCATGTAATATTTCTCTATCCAGACATCAGAGTGAAAATAGTGCCTCAGTTAGCTCTGCTGAAACATTTGTTATTGTAAAATATCTTGGAAAAATAAACTAAAACACTGAAGTCATTGATGTCAGTCTTTGCAGCAGAACACAAGCTCTCCATTGTCTCGTTGGGAAATTTAGCCTGAATTTCAATAAAAATATTATTTTAGGAAGAACCCGTCAGTTTTGCTTCAGGTTAAAACCGAATCTGGAAACTTTCCAGCCTCCAGTCGTGTCGTTTGTCTGACCCGAGTGTCGCCTGAATCCATTACAGCAGAGAGAAAAGCTGATAAACTGCAGCTGGAGCTCCAAAAATCAATTAACAGCAAATCTGCAGAAAGTGACCGCAGCAAATTCTGCTTTCTGCTGACCCAGTTGGAGCATATTCTGGTTCATGCGCTCCGGTTTTAAGTAAATAAAAGTGAAAGTGTGGCTGTCGGCAAGTACAGACAGCAAACTTAGACAAAAATTTATTTTGGACTCCACACTGAAAATATTCAGACATCAAAGTGAAAGTCATTTCCTCATCCTCACTCTCTTCCTCTCCCTCTTTACTTCATTTCCTCCCTCCATCTTTCCTCCATCACTTAAAACTACATAGTCCTTTTTTTATTTTAACTTTTATTTTTATTGAAAAAGCAAAGACTGGTGAGCTTGTTGCAAATGAAGCCATTTACAGATCCGTAAACCAGATAACATCCAATTTAAATATTGAAATGTAAAACATAAAAGTTCTGCTTATTCATCAACCAAAGGATTAATTTTAATTAAAAAAAAAAGCTAATATGTTGTAAATAATAGTAAATACAATGAAAGGGAATATAGTTCATGGGTTCATGACCTTCAGATCCAGTTTGTAGGTCAGCGATGCCACGAAAAGCAAAAACACAAAATGAAAGTTTCTGGATTTTCTTGGTCAAAAATGTAACTTTAATGCAATTAAAATGTTTTACATTTATTTTAAAATAAATTTCCAAGTTATTTTTTTTTACATTTTAACTGTAATAAAAAAATTTTTTATAAAGTTTTTGAAATTATTTTTATTTTTAAATATAATTTTAAATTTTTTAGTTCTAATTTTATTTTTAACTAATAGCATATCTATTTTAAATTTGTACATTTCAATTTTATTATTAATTTATACATCTATATTTTTATTACCATTTTAATTTAATTTACTTTTTTTGTTTTGTTTTGTCTTTGTAGAAATTTTTTGTTGACATTCGATGATCTGAAAGAGTCAAAATGTGAAAGTAAAACAGAATAAATCTGAATTTTCTTTTTACACAACGCTCTGTGCAATTGCATTTTTGCATTGCTTTTATCTATAAAAAATAAAGAAAAATGGCAGAAAAGAGAAAAAGTAACAAGAGAAAAGGGAAAGCACAAAAGTGAGAAACATTCCCACAATGCTTTGCTTCTTGATGGTTTGCAGTCATGATTCCTCAAACATGAACTCAGTGAAAAACTCTCGTTCTGTTTAGAGGAGAAAAGTCTGATTTGTGTTTTCCTTCTTCTTCTTTCCTCTTTTCACTCCTTCATTATTACTTCTCTCTCTCTCTTGCTCTTTGATTTCCTGTCTGGATGAATTGATGTTTCCCCATCAAGTCCCTGAACAGCTGCACTTCACTGAAACAGAGGATTCTGGTCTTTTCTCAGAGAAAACACAGAAATAAAAATGCATCAGGCAGACAAACATCCTCTCTGTCTGCAAATCCTATTTCACAGTTTGTCTGCTAAAGAGCTCTTTAATTTTCCTCTTCTCAGCAAAACGCGGCACGGAGCTTTGAATGAATGAATGTACAGCTCATTATCTCTGCCTCACACACATTCAGATGGAAAAACAAAAAACATGAAGCGCATCCACAGATGAGTAATGAGTCCGACGGCGCATGAGGCCACAGGAGGGGGAAGAACAGGAGAAAAAAAACAAATTCTGAGATTCATCTCAGAAATGTTCTAGAAAAAAGTTTGGACATTTCTGAGATTTTTTGGTCAAGTTTTAAGATGGTTTTTCTTGCAAATTGTTTGACTTTTCAGACTCAGAAATTTTGACTTTTTTTTAAAGAAACTTTCTGAGATTAATCTGAGAATTTCAGAGTTTTTTCCAAGTAAATTTTTGACTTTTGATGTTTTATTTTTTCCAAATTATGTTTTAATGAATCTCAGAATTTCTGAGATTTTTTGGGACAAACTCTTGACATTTCAAATTCAGAAATTTCAGCTTTTTTTCTAGAAATTTTCTGAGCTTAATCTCAGAATTTCTGAGTTTTTTTTCTTGGATATTTTTGACTTTTGCAACTCAGAAAATTTAGGTGTTTTAGATTTACCTGAGAATTTCTAAGGTTTTTTTCTAGTAATTTTTTTTAACTTTCCATGTTTTATTTATTTATTTATTATTATTTTTATGTTTTCAAATTTAGAAATTTTTATATTTTTTTCTAGAAAATTTCAGAGATAAATCTCAGAATTTCTGAGCTTTTTTCCTTGCAAATTTTTGACTTTTCAAACTGAAATTTCAACATCTGTTTCTAGAAAACTTCAGTTTTTACTTGTAAATTTTCAACTTTTGAAACTCAGAAATTTCTGTGTTTTTTTTCTAGAAAATTTGAGATCAGACTCAGAATTTCAGTTCTTTTTTCTCCTGTCTTTTTACTTTCCTCTGTGTCTACCGTGACCCGACTACGCCGTCGTTCTGCAGCAGACGTTTCCTGGTTGGTTCTGAGCTCACCTGCTTCTCGCCGCTCGGCCGCCTGTGCGACAGCAGCAGCTCCACAGCGCCCACCACCTCCTTCCTGATGGCGTACAGCAGGGCGTCGCCCGTGTGGATGCCGTGGTCCAGCAGGAGCTCCATGATCTCCAGGTTCTCGTTCTCGATGGCGATGAGCAGCGCGCTGCGGCCCAGCGGGTCCAAGCAGTTCACGTCCATGTTGTAGTAAACCTCGGCCTCGCGGAGGGCGTGTTTGACCCCGGCATAGTCACCTGAGGAGGAAACGCAGACAGGAAGCTGAAGCCTGGGGAGTGGATGTTCAAGTTTATCTAGATATTTTCATTACAAATGAGACTAAAAATACTTGGGAATATTTGGTGTTTTTGCAGTGCAGTTGTCTGAAGGCCATCTGAAGCCTTGAATCTCTTACTATGAGCCAGTTTTATTAGAATGATTTATTGTAAACATGACAGATCTGATCAATTTGCTTTTGCTCTGGACGGTGAAGGACATGCAGATGGTTTGCAGAGCGGCTGACAGCCTGAGCGACCAGCTGCTCGGCCATCAGCACCGTTTCACGGGTGACTGGACGTCCACCCTGCAGGTGTGCAGGGAACAAACGGATAAACACTCGGCTGCAGGAGCTCCTCTCTGCGTGTTTCACCTTTCTCCACAGCGGTGAGGTAGGCCCGCTCCTCGGCTGACAGCTCCACTTCAGCTCGGACGATCTGAAGCGGGATGCGGTCGCGGTACGGCGAATATGTCGCCTAAAGACGCAGAGGAAGGGATAAAAACAAAGAAACTGTTGTGATTAAGAGATGAGGGAACTAAAAGCATAAAAAAACCTGCTAAACCTTCCTCAAAATGCGATTTTCTTTCTCACATTGTTAAATTAGCTTAAAGTGGGTTTGTGCAGAGTAGCTATGAGTCGTCAGTACTTTACCTACGAGTGACAGCCATGACAGAAATCTCAACTTGGAGAATTTTGGACAATTTTGTTCTGTGTATTTTTTTTTTTTAAGTCGAGTTACAAATTATGAGAAATTTCCAACATTTCAAGACTAAAATAAAAAAAAAGCCAGATAAAGTTTTTTTTCACCTATTTAGCTTAGCATTATGCAGTTGTTTGCATAGTTGCCATTTTCTCGACTGAACTTAATCTGAACTTAATCCATGTCTAACTGTAGAAGATTCACTTAATCTGTGACGTTTCTCTCATTTTTGTGAATTTTAATTGCCCCAGTTGTTTGTAGCTAGCATAGTAGCATTGCTTTTGCTCTGGATGTACTCTGAAATTAATTACTAGCTATCCTCATTATGAGTTTAACTTCAGTCCTGGAAGATTTTGAAGTTGTTAATACCTTAAATGACAATCAGTTAATTGAATGATAAATTAAAATGAGATTGATATCATTATTTTAAAACAAAATGTTTCTGTTTCGTTGTTATTATTGCCGGTGTTTTTAACTCACCTTTTTGTAGTACAGTTGTGTCATTGGATTCATCTGGACAGTCTGGAGAGAAAAGAAGAAACGGTTAAAACTTAAAACCCAGAAAGGAGAGAATGTTGATCTGGGCGGCTGCCCAGGGCGGCAGTAGAACAAGGGCGGGAATAAAAAAAATTCATAAGTCATAGGAACATTTAATAAAATGTTATTTAATCCATACTTGTATTTTAAAAAGTACTTTGGTCGCAATTTGGATATTGTAAAGACATTTTACACACACGGGTGCAGCTCTGGAAAATCTTAAGATACCACTTAAAATGATCAGTTCTCTGATTAAAATGATCAGTTTCTCTGATTTTACTCTTCATAGGTATATGTTTGAGTAAAGTGAACATTATTCTTTTTATGCTATGAACTAATGAAAACATGTCAATGAAATTCCAAGCAAAAAATGTAACAGAAAATGAGAAACGGTCAAAATAACGAAAGAGATGCAGCGCTATTAGACCTAAAATTATGCAAAGAAAACAAGTTCATATTCATTTAGAAACAAGAATACTAATGTTTTCTCAGAAACCATTATTTGGTGGAATAACCAGGAGGTTTTCTATGGGGTTCAGTGCAGAGGGTGTTTCATGTGCAAAATAGAAGAACATAAATATGATTTATTGTCCCAAAATGTGGAAATCTGTGTAAGTTGGCAGGAAATCAAAGCAAGGAGATTCACGCAAAGACAGAATATATCACAAATAAGAACATAATAAAGAATAAAAGCAATGTAAGGGCAAGATTTAAACATATAAACAGAGTACTTCAGTCCAGAGGAAAGAGTTAAATTGGTTAAATCAAAAACAAGACGTGCACGTCTATTTGCAATGCAGACACATGCTATTTACAATTAAAACCAATTCAAATGGCTGCAAATTGCAGCGAACATGACTGAAAACCTGCAGGTTTCCAGCCATTTCCTGGACGTGAATGTGACGGAGGTGTTTGAACATGTTGGGGCGAGCCGCTGCTTCCTTCTGTATTATGTATAATCTTGACAAAAGCTGACAGGAAGCAAATGTGTGTCTGTTTGTTGAGTCAAATCAACAGTCAGCATACAGAGAGCAGACACGTCTCCTCCCACACTGACACCGTCTCCAGTTATTACATGTAATCCCCATAAACCGCAGCCTAACGCAGGGCGCAGCTCCTCTTGTTTGCACATTTGTGTGTGTGTGTGTGTGTGTGTGTCTTTATTTGTTCAAGACTTTACACACATTAACTTACTGCGCCATAATTACCCCGCATTTGTTTATTTTGTGAAGCAGCGTTCAAGGCAGACGATGCACTTTCTACGCTCTCCTGCGCAGCGCGGCATTAATTTTACATCAGTGGGACGCAGTCGAACCGAATGCTGATGAAGAAAAGAACACAATGAAGCAATCTGCATGTGTGTGCTGGGGTGAGAGAGGGCCTAGTTAAAGTATGCCGTTGTTCCAAAATCCAGAGGAAAAAAACTGTTCATATCAAAGGAAAAGCTCTGAGCTTGTTTTACATCCGAGTGTCATTAGCTGCAGTCATTAGACAGACTGCAGTCTGCGCAGGTGTTCGATTCCAGCTGTTCTCTCCGCAGGATGGGAACCAAAGTCACAAGTTATTACCTGGGATTATATGAGCACGATTTCATAAACCCTTTTATTGCCTCTTCCTCCTGCTCGTCTTTATCGATCGTATCGTAGCCGCTGCAATAATCATTCTTGTGTAGCTGGAAGTTTGTTTTGTGCCAGCTGGCAACCGACGCACACTTAATAATCTGATGAGACCGACGGTGTTTAAATAGAAGAGCTTTTCTTCGGCTGTTCTTAATAACAGTTTACGTTTTTTAATGGTCAACCGATAAGAAACAATGCAGGTTTACCAAGAGAGGTGTTCACTCTGCTGTTTTCTGTTAAATATTTAAAGGAGACATGTATACAAAATTTACATTTTGTGCATTTTTGTACTTCCATTTGGTTTCTAACTGCTTCTAAAAAAAAGAACCACCTAAACATTTCTGGTAATAAGTTAATGTTTTTTGGTGAGTCATTTCAAAAACCTCCCAATTGTTGAGTCGCACTGCTCCGTTCCCTAGCAACCCCAGCCAGTCACCTAGCAACCCAAGCAGAGTTTGAGCACGTTTGGTCAGGTGGTTTGCGCTGTACAATGGCTGCTGGAAAAGACAAACAAGAAGTGTTTTGTTGTTGACTCACTACTGAGAAAGCACTGCTTCTCAGTAGTGAGTCAACCAGAAGGCTCCACTTCTGCTGTTCAAAGACGTACGGTTGTTGCGCATCGGTTTGCAGCCATTTTCATCTGTGAGAGTAAATGGTGAGCTAGGGGGCGTGGCCTTTCCCAGATACTAAAAAAAACATCAACTTTCTGGACGTCTAAGAAGCTTCGTTTAACATCTGGATCAAATAAGACATCAGAACCACCTTATGTGGATCTGATTTCACTGTAGAAAAATAGTGAAATATGTATTAAAATGTCCATATTTTCTCTTTCTTTGCATTAAACACACAGCAGGTTTTCAGTACTTTGTCTAGGCCATGGTATGACTGGCAGTTAGCTCAGATAAATGGTCCAAACTTCTTTTTAACTCAGCTGAGGTCATCTAAACTGCAGATCTAGTTATGAATTTCTACTGCAGTTACAATCCCTAATCGTTGAACAGCTGTGGTTTTAAGAGAGAGCAGCGGCATTGCAGATGGTGCCAGACTGCAGCCTCATCATGAACAGAATCTCACAGACGATGACAGAAATGTTAACGCCACAGATCTGAGTCAGGGACTCGGACCGCTGGAGAAAATTGAATCTGTTACGACACAGATCTGCATCTCAACGAGGCTGTAATTGCTTTCTGTTCGAGGCAGCAGAGTCATTCTTCAGAGACTCTGCTGGTTAAACATGAGGTATGGAAAGAGACTCTTCTGATTCCTTTTGATTTTTGGGATGGTACGCTACATGAACGGCAAATTTACAAATCAGCTGAGGGAAAAGGAAAGTGAAAAACCACGACGGCTCAGTTCGTTCAAAGTGATGCAGCTTTAAGATGCCCGTTTCAAAAACTGCTGCTTATTAAGGAAACATTTAAGAAATTCTATTATAACACTGTAAAAATATCTTGATATATGTGAAATAATCTGCCAGTGTAACTAATACTTTTAACATTAAGGAATTAACTTAAAAGAAGATCCAATGTTTTGCTGAAAAGTTTTTTACAAGGTGTTGAGCAGCATCTAGTTTCACTGCAAAAACAAAACCTTACCAACTATTTTTGGTCTAATTTCTAAATAAAACATCTCGGTACACTTTAAACAAGACTAAATTAATTTACAAGTTAATTTCCTAGCAATAAAAATGTGCTTATTTTAACTAATACTCATAAAAAGTACCATTTCCACTTGCAGATTATTTCACTTACAATAAGACAAAAAAATCTGCCAGTGGAAGTAGAAGTACGTTTACTCATAATAAGCTCTTAAATCTTGCCAAAAAGTTACCTGTAGTTTAGTTTTGTCTTATTTTATGTATACTTAGGTATTTGCATTATAAACTAGTGTTAGCTCAGTTGAAACAATAAAATTGGGTAAAATATTCCTTATAAAGTTAAGGAGGGAGGGATTACTTTCTCACAGGTTAGTTTGGAAACAAAATCATAAAAACTGCCTTTTGTATTTACTCAGGTTATCTTTGATATTAAAGTTTGTCTGATGAACTTGAAACATGTAAAAACTGAAGAAATCCATCAGGGGCAGATTCCTTCTGGCAGCGCCGCGCCTCAGACTGAACTGAGCCTCCCTGCAGTGAAAACTCATTTTAGCCGCTTGCGTTCGCATCTCATTCTTTACTCCAGTCGAAACCCGACGCTCAGACCGCAGGAATGTAGCCGACTGGTAGGTGAAACGCGCTTCCTTTCACTTCTTTATCATGACGTCGTCTGTATTAAAAGGATCAGTCGCTGAACCGAGATGTGAAAGTCCCAAACGTTGAGTTCGGTTAGAGCGACTGAGAAGGCCAGAATGTATTGATAAAACCCATTAACTAAGATTTAACATATCGATAAGTTCTTAACATTTTAACATCTTGTCATATTGATCAAACCCTCCAGGATTACATGATTGTTTTGTTTTTTTATTTTATACAATCAAAATTACAGATTTTGTGTTAATGTAGAAATATTTGCATATGATTTTGCGATATTTGCACTTATGTAAGACAGTAAATGTGACTTTTTGTTACGATCCATGATAATCACGGACTACAACTTTAGATCAAGTAAGACTGAGAAGGGAGTTTAGTAAAATATACTGCCACCTGCAGGCGGGAGTTAGTATTTTTGACAATTTTTGAAAAAAAAAAAATTGCTATAAAAATTGAATTAGAGCCACTGATTAGAGTCACTAATTCTCACTTGTTTAAAAAGTCAAAAAAGCAAAGATAATGCAGGGGTTAGTTTAATTTGTGTGAATTTGGGCAATCATAGAATTTCAAAAAACTGAAGGGACTGATTATTTGTTATTTGGCACCAAACAGATAAAAACTGCTTTGATTTGATTTTTAATATAATATTTAAGCACATGAATATTATCTTGAAGGTTTGGGCCGAATTTGGCCACTGGGCTTTGAGTTTGAAACGGCTGGAAAATATTGCTGAAATCATATCACAATATAAGCATTTCACATTAGCTGATATTAATTACTTAACAGGTTGTTGCTAGGTAACCACAAGTTACTCAGCAAGTTGCTGCTAGGTAACCAAAGAGCGAGCGAGTCTTCTTGCTTAGCTGAATGCTGTGCGGTTTTGGAGCAGAGTTCAGTGAAAATATTGAATATTCTATCAGAGGTATTATCTATTCATATTGCTCAATCGCAATATCCGCTATTGATTTATTGTCCAGCTGGCGGTGAGTTCGGCTACGTTCACCCTGCAGCCAGAAATAACCTCAGTGCAACCTGTATCTGACCTTCTTTTGATAATCTGAACAACTCGGATCCAATTCTTTCAAAAGCGACCCAGGTCACTTGGATATGTGGTT